ACAGGAACCAACTTCTTCTCCTAAAGCAGAAAAACCAGCTGAACAGAGCAAAAAAACAGTAACTCGGTTCAAAACGGCGCACTTTAAAACAATCATAAAAACAAGTTACAGAGTCGTGTTTAAAGAGATGATATACCACGAAATCTACCTAAGTTGCGTAAGATAATGTGCAAGCGATTCAATTTTACTTCTCCAGCAAAAGCAGCGACAGTCAATACCTCTATATTCAACTCAACCTGCTCTCTCATTCAACTCAACTCTACAGTCTCAGCGATTACCTTCCGAAAATATGGTATAATTTTCGGTAGATTTCAGATCAGTAAGTATTACTAAACTATCCCTCAAGTTTTGCAACACTGCACATGTTAGAAACTGATGAAATTGTAACGGAACACTGAGATTAAGACACATTTATGACGAAAAAGATAATAAGTTTAGAATTTCCGACACATATAGCAACTTTTATATTACACGGCATTACCACCAAAATACGTTCGTAGTCCATGGTAAGTTAGATTGTGCATATGTTTTCTAAGACCATATGTCACTGAATAGCGAGTATTACTGAGCATGAAAGTCGTCAAGCCTGTAATTTGCGCGTTGCGTTCTGTGTTAAAATTTGATCCAAATCAAATTTAAAGAAACTCTGCTTACATGATGCGACTGTCCGCTCTCATTCGTGCCATTAGCGCACAGTGCTGCAGATGGCATAATCAAAGTGCGCTTCGTAGCGTATAGTTGACCTGGACCTGCTGGACAAAGTGAATAAATAAAATCTGTTTTGCACATGTGAGTGAATTTTATTGGCTATAGTAAGTTTTTGTCATGATACGTTCCAGTTTTGTGATATGTACATCACTCAATCAGTTTAGCTGCTAATGCAACGCGTGTTGATCTAAACATAGTAACTTTACTGACAGTAGAGTACGCACAATGTCTTAGATATGTTGAATATGAATCATTATGTGACGCCTTACAAATTTCTACAAATGACAAATTTCTGCTCTTCTGAATCGCGCGAGATTCTCATCTTAAAAAGGCACCACTGAACGGCGATTGAGTTCCATCCGGGCAGGCAACGCTGTGTAATTGCCCCATGTTCATTCTGCAAATGGGCATTTGAAATTTTGGCGCGTAGCGGGTGGATTGCGTTGTTAAGCAACGACTGATTAAAGCATCATGCCGCTTCGATAATTTGAACTGATTTCCATTTCACTAACTGCTTTTCACCGATGTTATTGATCCGGGCGATCAACAAGGAGGCTCACCGTAGCGCTACCTAATCATCACTGCCCGGTCTTCCGTATATCACTGAACTGGCGTATATAAAGCAATCGTATGCAAAGGGCAGTACTCCCAATACGGGAGGAGTCGCTGTCAGTCTGCGAAGACTGAGCGTTAAGTATGGAGTATGTATTAATGTTTCATCCATTTGTAACATGTTTCATTCAGCCACTTGGCCATCGTTATTTATGCGTGTCATTGTCCTTAAGTAACAAAATGTGTCTGTCTTCTTTCCTGCAAAGTTAAGGCACTGCGATGAGTGGATTGAGCTGATGGAGTTCGGAGTAGAATGGACGGATAGAGACCCTCTCGCACGATTGACTGGATTACCGCAGCTATAGTTGGTTTGTACCATGATGTATTTATGCGAAAGAAAGGTCCATAATGTGTTGAATTTTCAAAATCAACTTAGATACCCTGGAGCTTAACTTTTTTTATTGCTGAATTACAGCACAGATACCGCAGCACATTGGCGTCGAATAGCATTTAAGTTTTAAAAAATTTTAAACGTACATGTCCGTACGCTACATTCTTAACAAGCGCTTTATTCCGCCAAAACTAAATGTTTAAAATTTGAGAAGGGATGCATCATAACCGAATTGTTGAACGACAGTCACGTGATACACAAATATACAGAAATTCTTTAATGCGCTATCAGACGATTGCGTCGCCAAAAAGCCATAGGATATTTCAGATAATTCAACTCTCTCTTTCGATTTTTAGTGTTCTTGTTGTTTACTTCCAACAGATCACGTTTTATTGGAAACGGGCTGAAATGCTTGATTAGGATGTCACAAGAATATGCAATAATAAAAATTTCCTTTAGGATAATTTACATCATATAGTTGCAACGAATGCATGTTGAAATGCTAAAAATAACATGATTTTGCATAAGCTCCATCGGTGTGCTAACAGGATCATTTAGGAAATAAATCATAGGTCGTGCTGAACAAGAGAAAGTGGTTTATAGGCAAAAAAGTTTGCTATACGCACGTAGCTATATTTCTGTAAAATGTAATTCATGATGTAAACATAAAACAATTCAACTGGAGAACGTTGCGACTGAATGCTTTGTCTGTTAGTCATTACTGTTTCTTTGGATTTCTTACACCTATGAAGATGCAGAATTATGAACTTTAGAATCTGGAGAACGTAGCCTGGACTTGTTGCTGAAAGTAGTTACTGATTCTTTAACTATGTTGCTGAAAGTGGGCAATATCATTTTGGCTGTTTTCAGCATTTCAAATGATGTATTTCCTTATGCTGTATTGACAACGAAGTACATTTCCACTTTATATGGTCATCAAATTTGGATAGCCTGTTTTGATATTTGTGACATCCTTGCATCGTTAATTTGTAAACTATTGTACGGCCGATTGTAGCAGTGTTGCGAAATTTCATCGACTTTCTTTACGCCAATAAGAAAGATCTGTTTCGATAAAGATTACTTTGCCTAAAAATTTGAATCAGAGTGTGAATCCGTTTCTAAACCGTCCTTATGCCGATTACGTTTCGAACCTTTTGATTAGGCATATTCAGGGCTGCAGTCGCATCGTACATCGAAACGAAAATTTTATATTCATAAAACCAAACATGTTCAGGTTCATAATAACCTACAGCAGTAGAATTGGTAGCAAACCGTAGTCAATTGTTGATCGTATTAGCTCGGTCTTCTATCTGTTTCTCTTCAGAGGAACTGAAAAACAGTGGAACAGGTGCAAAAGTTCAATTACCTGGTAGTCGTATTTAGTGATGATGGGAAATTTGAGACCGACCGACGAATTGGAGTAGCCAGTGGCGTTCTGCATGAACTAGGCTGAACTATTGTGACTAAAGCAGAGCTGTGTCTGAAAAATAAGCTCTTGGTATTTAAGTCGATGTTTATCCCCATGCTTCCCTACGGTCATGAGAAGATTTGATCCCAGGTACAAGCTGCTGAAATGGGCTTTCTGAGACGAGTCGCTGGCCTTACCCGTCTCGACGTGATCCAGAATACAGACATCTGGGAGCGCCTAGGTGTACAGCCTATGCTTCTGCAGTGAAAAATCACAGCTACATCGCTGACGGCTAAGATTAACATTTCGCAAATAAATGCAAGGAGTCGGCTCCAGACTCCGGTTGTATTCTGTTGAAGTTCGGACTCTGGCACAGGATCGAGAACGTTGGAAGTAGTCTATAGCGCGACCCGAAAGGAGAAGGGGTAAGAGAGCCTAAAA